CGCCTAACTGCGCAGCGGGCTCCGACGCCGACGTCCGCCCGAGGCCCGTCAGCATGACGACGACACGGTGGGGCGTACCGAAAAAGGGCGTCGCGAAAGAACGTCCTACGGCTGCTGCAGCCAGGAGGCGGAGGGAACGCCCAAACGCCCACCAGAGGTGCGAGAAATTGTAGACCACGGCTACCTCCTCCGTCTATCAAATTATGTGCCGTACCTAACACGGTCGTGTCTGCCTCCCACGCTGGCCCGACGCAGGACGACGACGCCCTCCTGGAGGTTGAGGTGTCCTGTGCGCGGCGGGGCGCGGCCCGGGCGCAGGCAGCGACACAACACCACCACGCCCCTCCTCTTCCTGCCCAGAGCGACCGACGCGTACGCACCACAGCGCCGCCCTTCCCGTCCGCTCCGCACCTGCGGGCCGCGCCCTGGGGACCCCCGCCATGCCCGCCTCCCGCTCGCGGGGGGACAACACAACGACGTAACATATAGCACCACGCACCGTGAGCGGCTGTGAATACCCACAGCAGGTCGTCATAGACCCGGGTCCTCATGACCATGACGGGCGCCGATACGTCCTTGTAACGTCGATATCTTCAGGGCGGTATACTGGGTGCTCTGAAGTCGATATCCTGACGCGCCGCTCGCTCGCAGGGCGACGCGCCCAACACACGGACAGGACACCAGGGGGTGTTAAACATTAGGTCATTTTTGTTGACCTGGATCCGACTGCACGAGCACGCCCGAGGTATGACCTTGTCCACGTCGATAGCCAGACGGGTGTAGCCGCAGAACGACCCCGCCCCGGCCAGCCCCGCTTACGAGCCCTGCACAGGGACATGACACCACCGCGGGCGCGCATGAGGCTCGGGTAGGGCGCGGTCGATAGGTCCTCGCCCATGTCGATATCCCAACGGCACGGCCGCAGTTTTCAGCCAGCTCGCGGCGAGTTTTCCTCCTCGCGGTGTACAGAGGCACCTTGGCGGCGTCCCCTGCTCGCAGACGCCTCCGCGGCCCCGCTTACATCAGCGGCGTGTCATGGGACGCGGGACCGGCGCCAACGACAAGGCAGCCGTCTGGTGGTGTCTGGCCCGGCCCGGCCCGCCCCTCCCGGTCTACTAGCAGACCGCGCCGCTGGACTGTCGAGGACGTGTGGCCTTCGTGGCCCCGCGGTGCACGAGGACAACGCCCATCGTGATCCGCAGCGATAACGCTCGCCGCCCTCCCCGTCGATCGCTGCGCGCGAAAACAACCGACTGATAAGGCGAGAGAGGGATTTGAAAGGCTCAGCGGCCGGCGCTCCGACCTGCGCCGCACCTGTCGCCTGTCGGCCCGGGCGCTCGCGATGAGCCTCGCTCGACCAAAACAAGGGCGTGTTGGCGGCGTCCTGACCGGCGCCCCGCGCAGAGTGTGGCCCGTGGCCTCGGCCCCGCCGGGCGCTCACATGACGTGCAGAGTCACAGTCGTCCTCTCTGGCCCTACCCTGCCGGAGGAGTCGGCTGGCAAAGGGCCTTGGGCGGGCTCTGGGCGTCAGGCTGCCCAGCATTTTAGACCGGGCAAGCGGATGACGTGGACTCGAATGAGGAAAGGCAAGCAGCCGATGCGTCGAGCCGGCAACCCTGCAGCGGCAACACCGATCCGATCCCCCCTCCCCTCCCCTGCTCCCCTCCTTCCTCCTCCCCTCGAGCCGTAATGACACCCGAAACTAAACGCGCAACGCGCCGCCGCAGGAGCAGCAGCAGGAGCTCCGTCAGCCGCAGGAGCCCCGCGAACAGAGCGCCGTAACTCGGGTTCGTCGTCCTGGCAGATGCAGCGGCCGCCAAAATACAAACCCTCCCGGGACAAGGTGCCGGGCGCGCTGGCCTGGCAACGCCGTGGCAGATAGATAATGGTCCTGGCCACGACGATGCGCAAGCGCGGTAAAGAAGATCGGACACCAGAATCTTCGTGTGTTTTTGCTTCCATTTTCTCGACCTCTCGGCGCTCGCTCCCCGCGAACTCGTTCAAGAATGGCTTCCTGGCCGAAAGGGCAAAGACAAGAGTAGAGGCAGCGCCGCGGTCGGCGCGCAGATGGGTCTCTGCGTCCAGAAACCTCTGGGAGAGCCGGCCGGGGGGTAGCGCGCGAGGGGGCGGGGCTCTTCCCTTTGAGGGGCGCACAGCGTCAGAGCCGCAGAGCGAGGCCCGCTCCCCATCCCCCTTCCCCGAAATTGCACCCCTTTGCCATCAGCCCCCCACCCCCTAGCCGACCACGGCCGCGCCGGCGGGGGCGGAAGACCCCCTCCCCTTCCTACCCCCACGGCTGCCACACCCGGAACCGGCCCCAGGACTGCCGCCCTCTCGCGCTCCCCTCGAGCTATCGACCCACGAGCAGCGCCCGCTGCGGGGGGTACGAGTGGGCGAGAGGAGGGGGCAGAATTAGAGCAAAGACGGAAACGCACAATTCGCGACGAACGAACCCCCATGGCAGCGAGCCTTCACCCACCCCTTCACTTCCGATTCCCCTCGCAGGCCCCGGGCGAGCAGTGGGGGGCTCGGCCCAGCCCAGGCCACAGCTACCCCCTTCCCGATGCGGTCGGTGGACTCTGGCCCGACCTTGCCATGAGGACGCCGTCGCCGTGGTGCGCCGGGGCGGGGCCTCGGGCCGGCACCGCGACGGGCTCCATGAATATTGCAGCAGCGGGGTGTCACGCGTGCAAGAGAGAGCGACACCCCCGGCCAGGGCTCCGCCGGGCGCTGCTGCTGGGGGGTGGGGAGTGGTCGTTAGGCCCCTACACCACCGGCCTCCCCCGGCCAAATTCCCCTCCTCCCTTCCATTCTCTGCGTACGGGGTTCGGGCCCGGCCATCTCCCCTTCCCTCTCGCCGACGCCACCCCCGGGGCCGAAGGCAGAGGCAGAGGCAGCAGCGCGGCGCGGGCTCGTCAAAACTGACGGCGTCGTCAAGACCCCCGCCGCCGCGGCTCGCCCCAGGCCCAGGGCCGGCAGCGGCCAATCCCGCCCCGCCCCGTCCGTCGGGATCATCGCATGAAGCGTAGCCCAGCAACCGACACCCAGCGCTCGCAGAAGAAGCATCTCGGCGACAACCCGCAGCACAGAGCTCACGCGTCGTCCTGGTCTTGGCCACGGCCGTTCATACAGGCCCATGGGCTTGTCCGTGGCTTCATGGCGGCCACGCACTGGGCGCCCATGGGCACGGTTCGAGGCGCAGGGCGCGAGCCCGACGCCGCCGCTCCGTCCGTCCTGTCCCCGCAGCGCCAGCAAGACGGGGCAAAGTTTGGCAACGCAGACTACATATGTGTTGGTGGGTGCTGTGGGTGCCGGTGCCCGGGTACGGCGAGGGGCCGGCAGCAGGGGCAGGGCAGAGAGGGGCTCAGCAAGGAGTCGGCCGGCCTGCCCGCCTGCCTGCCTGCCTGCCTGCCTGCCAGCCCGTCAGTCTGTCCAAGGGAAAACATCAAGCCTCGCGGTAGGACGGACGGACGCACAGACAGACGGCCAGACAGAGGAGCGCACAGAACAAGCAGGCAGCCAGGCCCGGCGGGCAGGCAGGCGGGGCGGGCGAGCGGACAGACGGGCAGGCAGCCACCACGGTGCGTGGTTGCCACGATTCCGCCCCCTCCACACGGCGGCCGCCTCCTTCCCAGCGCACAGAACGGGCCAACTTTCTATCCAAAGCCGACTCGGAGTAAGCGCGCTATAGCGCGACGCGAGTAAGCGCGCCCCGTGACTTCGAAACCCGCGCGTTCGAAGGCGAGTTTGGACGCGCCCGCTCGGAATTATTGAACGGCGTCGCTTCTGGGGCGTGACCCGACACCGTGAGCACCTCGTCGAGGGCGCGGCGAAGAAATCCGGGCTGGAATCGGGCCGTGAATGGGATCTACACCAGAAGACGACGGCCTCCCCGACGTCCCGTGACTCCGCGGACCACAAATTTGAAGTTGTTCTTGAAACGCTGCGAATACGATCGTACTGTTCAAATACGTTCACCATGCCCTATCAGAGGCTGGGTGAACGTCAAAGGAATGAACAGCACCGCGTTTAGTCAAGCGGGTCTTTCAGTCGGAGGATAAAATTAAACCAGGATGCATTCTGAACCTAGTGCCAATGCCCCTACGGTACGAGGCGGGGTGCAAGACGTGATCCCGCCCCACCCCATTCAAACCAGACGATTTGGCAACGAGGGCCCAGCAGGGGATTTCGCGACGGGCCCCGAGGCTCAGAGCGTCGCTAGGGGGCGCGCGTAAAGCCTGTAGTACGGCGGCGGGAGGGGGTGGGGGTAGGTCGAAGAGACTAGGGAGGGGGTGAAAGGGGCGTATCCACCGCGGCAAGGTGGGGGTAACAAATGGAAAGGGGTGAAGACGTATATGGCAGGACGACTCTCGAGTAGGGCTGAAAATGAAGAGACAGGACAAACACCTCGCATGCAATACCAAAATACAAAAAAGGAGGTAATGTACAAAATGTTGACGATTTTTTCTAACAAGTAAACTAGGAAAAAATGAGAAAAAACGAGCCTCTACTGGCACTGTCAAATTTTTGGAAGTGTACTGACGCCCAGATCTCGGAGAAAATAAAAAAAAATCACTTGGTCTGCTTGCTGTTCACACTTCACTCACTGCTGTCTTGAGGTATGCACTTGAATATTCCAAATATTCCAATAAGGGTGGGTATCCAGGTAGGTAGGCTGGAGGTAAATCCGTTTGGGGCACCGTCGCTCCTGGAGGCTCCTGGGAGTGATATCCAGTGACATATTGTTGAAGCACCACACACCACAAATAGGTAATAAACTCTTGAGATCACTGACACCAACACTTGAACCAAAACACCACACACACACAAGACACATTCTCCAGCACTGGGCGCCGAGTACTACTTCCAAAAAAATGAAGGCGAAAAAAATTACCAGGGTGAGTTAGGACCCTGATGAGCCACTCCCCCTTCTCATCCTGGGCGAAGGGGAGAAGAGGCCCGAAAAAAATGCCTACCGTTTGAAATGCTCCCGAATCCTGTCTTCTCGTATATTCTCCGGCAAATTTCCGACCCAAAGGTGTCGAGTCTCTCTAACCATCTTGCACTGCGCTCTTCATGAGGACTCGGCCTGTTCCCTTACGTGGCATCCATCGACGAAGGGTCGCGACAATCCTTGTTTATCCGCACTGCACATTACAACAATCACTCACACTTCACTCAGGACCGAGTGACGTCACACACTTCACGAAGCGACACGACGGCGACGGACACGAAGCACGCGCGGTGATGGGCCACACTCGACTGGCGCTCGCTCCGCAGTCGCTCCGCAGCGCGGCGCTGTTGACGCAGCCGGGCGAGTACAACGCGGGCCAGCGGAGGGGAGGGGGAGGGGCGGTGGCGGAGCGGGGAGTGGCGGCGCGTAGCGGCCGGGGAGAGGGGAGGGACAGAGGAGAGGGGACTTGTTTGCGGGTCGAACTTTCGTGCTGGCAGCAGCAACTGCAGCAGCGGCGGCGGCACCAGGCGGCAGCAGCGGCAACGGCGGCGGGAGCAGCAGCAGCAGCCGCAGCAGCCGCAGCCGCCCGGAGGGGTGAGGTGAGGCAGGGGTGCGGAGACGCGGGGCGGACAACAAGGGAAGGGCGGGGAGAGGCTTGGCGGGGAGGCGAGGGAAGGGAGAGGACTGGAGGGGAGGGGGCAGTAGTACTAACTAGAGAGGTGGCGGTTGCTGGTGCCGCAGTCGCAGGAGCATCCGCGGGCGCGGCGGCGGGAGGCAGCAGCTGTGGCCACTGGCCCGCGAAGCACCTAGGAGGAGCAGGAGCGCAACTTCACAGGCGACTTTCAAGAAAACGAAAATTAAAAGGTGAAGTTTTTTCAGGTGTTGAACATTTAAGTTTTAATAAAAGAAACATTCAACTCCTTTTGTCAAATGCGAAACACCGAACTTGGCCCTCCAGGGACTTCCCTTGTTGGAGCCTTTGTCGCAAGGTGAGGTGAGAGCTACCTTATTCCTCTCTTGTTTTCACGAGATCAGTTCGAATCAGGTTTTCTACATGGCATTACCTGAAACTATCTGAAACGTCTTTTCTTGCTTGAAACGCGTTTTGGCGTTTTGGCTCTGAGGTGATTCCGCGATACTCCACGCGGACGTCTCGGCACTACTCCACGCTCAGCTTCACAAGCGGCAGGGTATAGACAAAGAAGTTTTACAGTATTACAGTCGCCTGTTTATTTGGAGTATATTTTTGTGTGTTCTCCGACCATAATGAACGATAACAAGTTACATGGGATTAGTTTTGACTTGAAGAATATTCCTCTACAGAAGACAGTTGCACTAAATCATGCTATTATTCATTCGTGCCCTTGCCCAGACAGAAATGTAAGTCGTCCGACGTTGAATCGACGTCGATGTTGCTCGTAAAACGTGATTGTGTCTCTTAAATCGATGTCAAATCGACGTCAGATCGACTTGGATGCTATTTTCATTTCTGTCTGGGCTGCTTTCAGGCGCAGTCATGGAAAACGCACACTATCAAAAAATGAGCAATTTGTTATACATTTCTCACACCTCACACACTGACTGCATCTGTGCCCCTACTTTTTACAAATCCTTAAATTTCCTCGGTATATAAATATAATAAACGTACCAAATGAACACAGAATGGTGACGAAAAGTGACGTATTTATTGGACGGAAACGTCACCGAGAGAAATCACTATTTCCGCCAAAAATTCGTCATTTTGACGTCAATATTATGTCATACATTGATGTAACTTTTGTGACCATTCTGTGTTACTTTGTCGTAGTTTCGTTGATTATCACTTTGACTGATAATAAGAGAGATTAAAGAAAGAAATACAATAGTATATAATCTTAAAGTATAAATGAATTTAAATGAAATGTTCATTTTAAACAATATAATTTATCATCTGCTGAATAAACATATAAAGATATATTTTGGCACAGAAAGCCTCTGTTTTTGTAGCTTTGCTCTCTGGACGATAAGTAAGACGAATATAGTTTATTTATTTACAATGGAAAATTAAAGACCTGACCCTGTCCTCGCTTCTATTATACCTCACATCATTCAACAACATTAAAATCCATCTTCAAATTTAACAAGATTGTTCAAGGTAAACTATAGTTGTTTTTCATTATAGATGTTTAGATTTCTATATGTCTAGAGACTTTGCAAACAGTATTGAAATCTAGATATGTTTAGTAACAAAAATAAATGCAAAATACTTATCTATGTACCAGGTGGCTGATTCACGCCGCGCACTATCGTAGTTATACTGTGCCGCATGCACAGGTGCTGGCGGGTTTGTCTCAGCTTGCTGCCCAAGGCTCCTTATGACCCCGTGCGCGTAGGCAACCCACCCCTACATGCTGTACAGTATAACTACGAAAGTGCGCGGCATGAATCAGTTACCTGACATGTATAAGGAATAGTAGTTTATCGAACCGTACTACCACTAATACTATCAAATCAACGAGAGGACAACATATTTGAAACACATAGTAAACCAAGATATCACGCGTCAGTAAAGGTATCACTTTCATCACGATTCATATTAGATGTTTTTCTCTTCAAAGGCTCGTTCGGAGACTCCGATTCACTTGGCAGATTACTTTCAGGATAGTTCCAATCCTGGATGTCTGCAGTGCCAAATATTTGGAAAAACAAATATGTAACTAAGGCTACAACTGCTGACACACCAAAAACCTTCCTCCACTGCTCCAGGCTTTGCTGTAATGGAGAAATTACATTCAGTTTTAGCAGGTCCTTTTTTACTCAAACCATGCCAAAAGCATTACTGTTACTTACGCTTTCTTGTGTGATGAAGCCAGCAACCAAAGGAGATATAAAGCTCGCAGTCATATGTATTGTCTGAGCAAATGCCAGAATGGGTCCTGTAAAGGTAAAGCATTGACATTAATTCATTTAATTTTGTGGTTCTGAGCATGACGGAAATTTAGTGATTTTCGATTGCCGCGAGCTCAATGCGGGAATTCCCTGGACGTGTCCCTACAGTGAATCCCCCCCCCCTCCCCCCGAGGTAAAACACGGGGCGAGGTAACAGGGCGTCGACTGTGCTCCTGCCCAAAACCCCTGCACTTAGGCGCTCCTGGGCGGGCAACCGTTTTAACACAGCTGCTCGGCGGGCTGGCCTACCCTGTGCATTGCAGACGTCATCGTTGGCGTTTGCTCATAATTCTTTAATATTGGGGACACCTTCTGACAACGATCTTGTACATGAGATGTATTAGTAAGCCTGTTGGAAGTACTAGTTATTTATTCTGACCTGCAAAGTTCGGCGCGATGTCCACGACGCTGGCCATAGCCCCGGCGTAGGCGGCGGTGATGAGGGTGACGGCCAGGAACCAGGTGACGAGCACCAACTCGATGTGGCAGCCGAGGTAGCCGATAACGAGGACGAGTAGACCGGGAAGGACTTGGGCTGAAAACACACAAGACGAGCAAGAGTTAGGAACGATTCAACGCGCCGCCAGTGTCTTTTGGGCGAGGTAGTTTAAGTTTGTGGAACTTACAAATGGCGGTCATCAGTTTACGTGTGTTGGTCAGGCTGAGGACATTCCGTGTCACAAGCCGGTCAGCGACGGAGCAAAACACTACCGAAGAAAGGTAGCTCAACAAGAATGGCACACCACTAAGGACACCGTTCTGCAAGAAAGATACGGAGGCTCAATCAGCGGAATCGCATTTCTTTAGGTGATATTTGATTTAAGTTCGTCGTTTTAATGACATTTCGCAAATCCATGTAGTGGATGACTCACTGCCTGAATACTAAATCCTAAAACAGTCTTCATGTACATGGGACCTGGTATGATGAATACATAGTGAATCCATATCCTTCCGAAGGTGGTGATGCCGATGGACCAGGCCGGGAGGGATGTAAAGATTTTCTTCCACGGCACGCGTACTCCCTGCAAACCGTATTGAATGATGGGTTCATTTCTGATTTCGCACGAGGTCTAGGCGAGCAATGGTCCTGGGTGGTACTAACCTTGCCATCCACGATGGAGTTTGACACGTTGCTCTGGATGTAGCGCAGCTCCTTTGGGGTGATTCTGGGGTGCTGGCCGGGCGAGTCGAAGGCCAGCAGCCACCAGAACACGCACCACAGCATGCCCAGGCTGCCCGTCACGTAGAACACCACCCGCCAGCCGAAATGGGCGATGATGAAGCCGCACAAGGGATACGTCAGCCCTATCCCGAAACTGAAGCCTGCGCGGGTGTCAAATGAGAAGGTTACGCAGTGGGTGTGACGAGTAAAGCCGCCGCAGCCTCATCTCGTGGCGATACCCCGCGCCGCGAAAGGCGTGAGCGCGGAGTATCGCCGAGGGAGGAGGCCGCCCGGTCAGCGCCGAGCACCAACCTTGGAAGGACGACATGAAGCGACTCCTCTCGGAGGCCGGAATCCACGGCCCCACCGCCGCGTACATCGCGGGCCACGTCAAACCCTGGAGACAACACCAACAAACGGTTTCATTGCATGACAATCTAGGGTCACTACACCGAGGGGCCCGGAAAGAAAGCGCCTTCTTTCCTCGCGACACTGTACGCCATGCATGCGTGCGGACGGGTTGCCTACTCGCTGCGGCCCGTAAGGCGCCTCTATGTTGGCCAGAGACGACTGACGACTCGCCCGCACGGCGCACGCCTGCATGCATGTGGGCGTGGGCGAGGGGTTTTCAGCCGCCTGCTGATAAGTAGTTTCCACGTAATATGCGAAAGCTTACCGAGGCGACGCCCTGCACGGAGCGGAGCGCGATGAGCAGGGCGTAGTGGGCCTCGGCGGCCACGGGGATGAGCAGCGAGCAGGCGGCCGTGACGAACTGCGACAGGCCGAAGACCACCTTGGTGCCGAAGCGCTGCGTGAGCAGGCCGCCCATGACCTGGGACAGGACGTAGCACCAGTAGAACGAGCCCAGGATGGCCGACTGCGTCCGGGCGTCCCACTCGAACTCGCCCTCCTCGTCCTCGGGCGGCGCCGTGAGGCTGCCGTTGGCGTCCCGCGCGCCCGCGTAGCAGTAGCGCGGCTCGGACGGCGACGAGGTGCTGCTGCTGCCCCCGAGGACGGCGCTCTCGTTGCTGAGCTCCGGCCGCGGCTGCCGCACCATGGCCACCATGGCGATGTTGATGTCGGTCCGCATCATGAAGGAGACGAGGAAGCCCGTGAAGGAGAGCATGTACAGCACGACGCGCGCCGGCACCCCATCTGCAGACGACCGGAACAATTGAAGTAAACGGAACAATGTTTTCATGTGGTGTACTCGTGAGGTCGAGACATTTAATTATTGACTTAAATTTCCACCTACGGGTTACTCGAGAGGGTCCTTTACAGTACCTTGCAACCTCCTAAAGCACACCATCGGCGTTTTCTTCTGAGGGTTCGCCTCGTCTGGCAGTCTGAAACAATGAGTCAATTTGAGGTAAGGTGCTTTTCTTGAGCCACATCTCCCACATGTCCCACCTGCTCATGTGCGTGCTCACCTCTGTCTGTCTCCCGAAATCGATGCCCTCGCCATGGTGGTGGTGGTGGTGGTGGTGGTGGTGGTGATGGTGGTGGTGGTGATGGTGGAGGCGGCGGATTGGCAGAAGTGGCGATGCGACGCTCAGGGTCCTAGCTCAAGGGCTGCGGCACGGCGCGGGGCTGACGCGGACCATCTGGATAATTCAAAAGGCGGCGTGAGTCAATCAATCGATGTGTCTACTGTAGTACGCAGCAGTGCAACCCGGAGGGGGAACATGTATTAGCCCAGAACGTCTGTGCTTGTTCTGAAAATAATTGCACACTTTAAACGATATAAACACCGACGAGCGAAAACGTTCACTGCAATCACTGTGAAAAATATCCTCGTAAAATTTACAACATACACTCTAAATGTCAAGGGACAATTTTGTCCGTAGATTTGCAAAGATTTCGTGCACATCCAGAAAGGATGCAGTTTTGTTCCGTTAATTGGACAAAATTGTGTGAAGCCTCACACAATTTGTCTAGTTTTAGGAACAAAATTGCATCCTTTCTGGATGTGCACGAAATCGTTGCAAATCTACGGACAAAATTGTCCCTTGACATTTAGAGTGTATTTTGTGATTTACTGTGAACAAAATATGTTGCAGATTTATGACTTGGCAATATTCCAAGTCACAGAGCTTGTAATTGTACAATTTTGAATTGTAATTTTACTATACGATTTTACGAAATTTGTACGTAAAACCTATAGAACTACTATTTTTCACAGTGAACACGATGAGAAATGTTTTGGCTTTAGACGCACACGGAAGATGCAGTTCTGGTTCTTCTCCTGCCCTGTCCTACTCGGTAGTGTAAATGCGCGTGCGCGAACAAGTGTTCGACCCGCAGGCCAGCTCGTCTCTACACGCACGAACTGCACGAACTTGAGCGACGGGCGGTCCGCCCGCAAGTGTCGTCGACTCATTTCATACCGCACGCCGCCGCACGCACCTGCGAGCTCGTGGTGTGTGCGTGTATGTGTATGAGTGTGTGTGCGTGTGTGCGTGTATGTGTGTGTGTGTGATTGAGAGGGGGGGGGGTACCATGATGTTTCACGATAATTCGCGACGGACACGGCTCAGGGTGACCGTGACATGTGAGCGGGTGGTATGCTGGCGGAGATGCCCACGGCTTGCGGGGGCACCGCGGGTTTTGGCACAGGACCCACGAACCCGCCATCTGCATTTTGATTATATGATTACTAGTGATTATCAAACTGTGAACTGCACGGGGATTATGGATAATTAAGAATGTACGTCCATTTGCCGCTTCGAAACTGCCCAAGTTCAGCCACTGCCAGCTCTCATGGCGCCTGGTAGGTGGGCAACATTTTGCTTGCAGTGCATTCGTGTACTGCGGGGCGGCCTACCCTGAGTCTCGCAGGCGGCGAGGTCCCGTAAAATACCGAATGGATCTGAGAGAAACGGACGTACTTCACCTCTGAAAATGCTTTTGCCTCACCCCGCTCCGCCCCGCTAGACCAAGTACGGGAGTACGACATTACCAAATGATCCTCTTGGCGTCGATCAACGGGAAATTTGTATTTAGGAAGCTAGGAGAGGGAGTCCTCTCACCGTGTCCTATCGCAGTCTCGCCGCAGCTTTCTGTCGAACCCTGATGGTGTAAGTACTGGAGCAACGGGGTGCGGCACCGCCGTCGGGGGACTGCGCCGGTCTCGCCCACAGGCGACAAGGGACGCGGACGGCGAGGATGTCGACAACGGAGTGACACATGCCGCCCGCTTGGGTACCGCGATTCCGCCGCCGATAATATGGAGTCGATGGAGGGGGCGGACCGGGCCGGGCGGCCGGAGGGCGGGAGCACAGGTGGGGAGGACTGAAGGGGAGGAAGAGGGGGGGGGGCGAAACATCGCAGATGGCGGTATAGGATAGGGGTTGGATGTGTCACGGCGACCGCAGAAAGCGGCCGTGCGAAGGGCGGCCCCGGACACGGCGGGCGGGCAAGGGCACGGAGGAGGCGGCGCACCACAAGTGGCTGTTGGAAAGGGGTGGAGTTGAGGTCGGAGTCATGCTGCTGAAAATCGCCCCAACGGTCTTGTTTCGAGCTCTGTACTTCGGTGCGATCGCAATTGCAGATCCACGCTGCAGTGGGCCGCGCGGTATTATCTAGCAAATAACGGACGATAAGAGATCGAAATAGCAGCCCCTGGAGTACGAGGTCGCACATTTCTCTGATTGGTCGAGGGTTCGGCGAGGTCTCCATGAGTCATAGGTCACAGGCGCGATGGTGACTGAAACGCGAACAAGTCGTCGGGTTGCATTCGTGCAGGGCATAGTGCATCCGGCCGGCCGGCCGGCCAGCGCCCGGTGCACGCCCGGCGCCCGGAGCAGCTGGGGAATCGATGGAGGCTCCGCCGGACTGAACTAAACAGAGCCGAGTCGGGCGTCGCGGCGTCGCACAGCTAGGCTAGCAGCGGTCAATTCGAAACATGTTTCAGTATTGATTAAGGGGAAAGCCCGAGGAGAGGTGAAGGGGGGAGGGGGGAAAGGACAAGGATAAATAAAATAAAAACTGTTCCATGCCCCCTTATACACACTGTAAAAAAAAATCTGAAAATTCAGTAGATGTTTTTCAGAATCGGCACTCTGAATCCTGTTTTCAGACCATTACTCAAAAATTGTTAAGTTTAGACTGAAAATCCAGACTCTTTACTCTGAATCAGGTTTTCAGAGCAATTTGTCTGAATGTTTTGAAGTATATTTTCAGAATCTACACTGAATCTACAAATCAGAGTTACCGGTATGAATTTTGAGTGGAAAGTCCACCGGACAGGCGGACGAAGCACACCAGTATCCGACGCTGCTCCCCACGCAGGCAGCCGGCAGCCGAATGGTTAAGGTTGCGGCTTCCGAACCTGAAGGTTGGCGGTTCGATCCCAACCAAGGGCAGTACCGAATGGACAGGTATGTCCTCACCTGGGCATAGCCCACTATCTCCACAGCTGTTAAGTCGCTCGCTATGTGTTCATTTTTAACATTTTCAAAATTATTTTCATACCGGCTGTCTGAATTTTCAGACTAAGTGGTATGGTAAGACACTACTGAAATTTCAGACCCGGGTGCAGTCTGAATTTTCAGACTACTGGTCTGTAAA